GCAGGCCATCCAAAAGTAACTGGTTGAGCCCACTACATCTCGCTATGAAGAAATCAGGTGATTGGAGACCTTGTGGAGACTATCTAGCATTAAACAACGTCACGATTCCTGATAGATACCCTCTCCCCATTTTTAACAGATTGCAGTTCCATTTTAGCTGGAAAAAGAGTTTTCTCATCCATAGACCTCATTAGAGCGTACCAACAAATTCCAGTTCGCGAAGAAGATATACCGAAAACGGCCATTCTCACTCCCTTTGGCTTATTCGAGTTCCCATTCATGACGTTCGGCCTACGAAATGCGGCCCAAACGTTCCAAACGTTTCATGAACAGTGTGTTGAATGGACTAGAATTCGTGTTTTGCTATTTGGATGACATTCTAATAGCCTCTCCAGATGAAGAAACTCATCGAAAACATATACGAGCAGTCCTCGAGAGACTAAACGAATATGGCCTGTGTATTAATGCGGCAAAGTGTAAATTTGGTCAAACAAAACTTGCATTCCTGGGATACGAAGTGTCAGCTGAAGGACTTAAACCTCTCTTCAACGAAAGTTGATGCCATCAAAAATTTCCCAGAACCAAAGTCATTTACTAGTTTAAGACGATTTTTAGGTATGGTGAATTTTTATCACAGATTCATATACCAAATTGTGCGAAATTGCAACAACCTTTAACAACATTGCTCAGTGGTATTAAAAAGAACTGCAGAAAAGAAATAACCTGGACGGCAGAAACAAGAAGAAACGCCTTCCAGATCTTAAAAGATGCACTTATTCATGCCACAAACTTAACTCACCCATCCGAAAAGGCTGAAATATCGCTAAACTGATGCTTCCGATACTGCCATTGGAGCCGTTTTACATCAGATTGTGAATAATGCAAAAACAACCCTTAAGTTTCTTTTCCCGAAATTTGACATCAGCACAACAAAAATATAGTGCCTACGACAGAGAACTCTTAGCCATCTATACAGCAGTAAAACATTTCAAATACATCTTAGAAGGGCGAACTTTTGCAATATACACGGATCACAAACCACTAACATTTGCCTTCCAACAAAATTTGGAAAAAGCTTCGCCACGACAAGCTAGACAACTGTCATATATTGGCCAGTTCTCAACCGATATCCGATTCATACAAGGGCATGAAAATACCGTCGCTGACGCTCTCTCTCTCGCATAGACACCATTTCTGTACCATCTGCAATAGACTTACAAACTATAGTAGACTGTCAAGAAGATGAAGACTTGGAGATACTAAAAAACAACCCAAACTTAAAAAATCCTACAGATCCCTATACCGGACAGCGAACAAGAAAATTTACTGTGATACTTCTACAAATTATAATCGACCATACATCCCTGCAAAGTTTCGGCAGAAAATATTTTCTTCAATCCATAATTTATCTCATCCTGGAATAAGATCCACGATAAAATTGATAACACGACGTTTCATATGGCCCAATATGAATAAAGACTGCCAACTATGGACTAGAGCATGTTTATCTTGCCAAAGATCTAAAGTTCACAGACATACACAGTCATCTTTGGGAGAATTCAAAGTACCTCCACACAGATTCCAGCATTTAAACATAGATCTGGTGGGTCCGCTACCTCCTTGTGCAAAGGATTCAAATATCTTCTAACCATCATCGATCGTTATACACGATGGATCGAAGCGGGTACCGTTAGAAGATCAATCAGCAGAATCTATTGCTAAAGCTTTGATTTATACTTGGTTTTCACGCTTTGGAATTCCGAATCGCATAACATCTGACCAAGGTCGGCAATTTGATAGCCAACTTTTTCAAGCTTTAGGAAAATATCTTGGTTTTCATACAAAACACTACAACTGCGTACCATCCACAGGCAAATGGCCTGATCGAAAGACAACACCGAACTTTAAAAGCAAGTCTCAAATGTCATCTACTCGAATCAAAATTATGGCTGGAAGCATTGCCTTTTCTTTCTTTTAGGCATAAGATCTGCCATCAAGGAAGACTTAGGTTGCTCATCCCGCAGAACTTGTATACGGAACCCCTTTAGCATTACCTGGTGAATTCTTTTCAACAGTACCTCATATGAAACAGTCTGAATTTTCTCAAAACCTTCAGAAAATAATAATAAGAGCTATGAAGCCAAGTTCTACCACCACCCATGGAAATAGAACAGTCTTTGTTTCTAAACATCTTTCCAACTGTTCTCACGTATTCCTATACAACAACATTAATAATTCGTTCGCTACAGCCTGTCTATCTTGGACCGTATCCTGTAAGAGCAAGAAAGGATAAGTACTTTCGATATTGAAATTCAAGGAAAAGTTAAAAGAGTTTCAATAGACAGACTAAAGCCATGTTTCCTAGTGCAAGATTCTGATATTCCTTTTCCAAACTCCCATTCCAAGAAAGCGGAACTTGGGGAAACACCTGCACTCAAGAACACTGAAGAAAATTCAGAAACTCATCATGAAACCAAGACTACTAGAACCGGCAGACATGTGAAGTTCCCCAGTCACTTTAAAGACTATCTTCCATAATCGCTGTCACTAGGAAGGGGGTGTGTAGTGTCGCTTCAGTTCCGTCAAGTTTCTAATTAAATTTAGTTAAAGCGGAATGGCAACACCTTCTAGTCTCCGCGAAGAACGAAGTAAACAAATTTCGAGTTTTTGTCACGCGATGCTACGCGCATGTAAAATGTAAATAAATCTTATGAATAAGAATCTATAACATCGTAAGGAATAAAATATTGGTTCCATTGGAGTCAGAGAAGTGTTATTTTTCTATATTTGCACACCAGACACTTCAGTGAGAAATATACATTTATGCAGATTTTTCATTATTTAATTTCTTCAAATATAATGCAGGACTCTAACATTTGGTAGCAATAGTTTGAAAAGTGAAACGAACATTTATAGTGAACCAACACAAAATGAAAACAATAGTCCTTCAGGGAGAAAGCCCCTTTAGACTAAAAATAAATGTGGATCTGAATTTGGCCTTTAAAAGATTAAGTTGAATCTCAGAATAAAAAAGGATGGGTACTGTTCCGTTATCGAGACCAGACTCAGAAATGTATGTATCTGCATATATGTGGTTGCAATGAAAGTTTTCTGCCAAAGTATGTCTAACTTAATAAAGTCAGAGGGGGGCAGGGAAACCAGCAACTTTAGGTAGTAATTCCCACCCAAATCTATGATCTTCTGCCAACGTTTTGGTAGATTTCAAACCCTTCGGCCAAGAAACTTGATAGCCGTGAGTCCAAAAACAGACCATCCTTATTTTGGACATTCTGTATAGAATGGAAGATGTAGCTGCAGGTGTGAAAAAAGGTAGAAGGCCAAAGAAGCGATGTCGGGGCTACATGTGGTTGTGGCAAAAGATCCCATTCGAGCCCGTACAGAGTTCAGCCAGTGAATGCAGACACATGTCTTGCATTATCTGGATGGAACACTACTTTTTTGATCCAGATCTCAGTTCGATGTTTTTCCTTGATAGCAACGTCAACATGGACTAGCACCTTGCTGTACACCTTACTGTCGAGGGTTTTACCTTTTCCCAGATATTTTTTGTGGATAATTCCGCGGCAATCCCATCAGATACAAAACATTATCTTTTTATTAGTCAAATTGTGCTTTGTGATGCTGTAAATGGACTCACCAGGTACAGACCAATCCCTTTTTGGCCTGTGTTGTCGAAGTAAATTCACGTTTCTTTACAAGTGATGATCCGGTCCAGAATTTTGTCCTTGCATTGATATTAGAGCAGATTAGTGCAGCTCCTAACACGTCTGTCCTTATCTGTTTGATTCAGCTCATGCAGCACCCAAAAATTGAGCTGGTAAATCAGTCTTGCACCTTTTTTTTTTGTGTTAATACCATGAAGCCATTTTTTACTTTGTCACCTTTTTGTATGGGTATATAAATCTTGCTTTAAAATGATTTTAAACCTTCCAAAGTGCAAGGTCTAAAATTCAAAAGCGAAATTATCTCTACCAACTCTGTATGAGAAAAGTCAAAACATCTTTGTGGGGGTAAGGGAATTCAGAAAAGAAAAGTGAATTTTCTAGAGAGAACTGATACATATTTGAATATTCTGAAACAATTACATGAGAAAAAGCTCTTATCATGAAAAATATTAAAGGAAACAGATGAAAATAATTTTAAAAAATTGCAGTAGTTTTTTTTTTAGGGGGTGGGGAGGTTTCTTAAGAAATGTGCTCGACAGCATTTGTTATTTTTCAAAATCAAAATACTAAGTTGCCAAAATGGAAATTAATCTCATTTTAAAATATGCTATTCTTTAATATATTGTCATTTTTAATGTTATTTTCTCAATGTGATGTTTGTAAAAAAATTTTTTAAATTTGCCTATCTCCAAATAAAAAATTTTTAATCCAAAATAGCTAAAATGTTGATAAATGCCAAATTTAGCACTGCATAAGAAAAGAATTTATATCCCCCCCAAAATTGTTCTTGATGTAATATTTTATGAATGTTTCATTTGCAAAAAGGAAATAATTTCAGAACGTTTATGTTTCCATTGGGGTAGGACCTCATGCCCAGAAAGAGTATTGCACTCTTTATAATATAAATAGGAATGAATTGAAATGATAACCCATCAAATGCAAATTTGTCAATGAACCGCCAAACCATGTACTAAAGAATGTTAATTCCTACTCAAAATAGCAGGTGTAAAAAATAGACAGAAATATCATATGAGTAAAATTAAGCACCTTTTGCTGATATTGGTTGAAACTAATGACTTTTAAGGACCAAAAACCATTTACAAAAACTCTAAGGACTGTACAAACCCTGTACTATAATTTTTTCTCATAAAGTTTAAGAGGTAGAACTGCTTGTTTCCTTACTTTTGTGTAGTATGTACTTGTATTATTGTTCAAAATGATAAATAGTACATTGGCCTAAAGCAACTTTATCAATTTGTAAAATAAGATAAACATATTTAATGCGATCATTCAGAAATACGATTCACAACTTACTTTGCAATTGAGTTCAGCAACAAACTTTTATCAAGATTGACTTCACTAAGTAAATCAGAATTTATATGCTCATCCTGCAATGTCTTAAGTTTGAGAACTGCACTCAGTCTTGGTAATTCTAAAACAGTCTGTGATGTGCGAATGATTCCAACCTGGAAAGAAACCACATAGCAAATTTATGACATAAAATCTGAATAAAATTATTTAAATGAGAATTACTAAATTCATGTAACTACATTATTTCAGATATCTTAACCAAACTAAAATCCCACCAATCCTAACATCTAAAAAGAGACCAAACACACATTTAATGCAATTCAAATAATTTTTTTATTGCATTTTATTAAAAAAAACTTAATTTTCATTTCCTTAAAACAAAATGCTTTTTTTTTTTTTCAAACAACACTGAGCACCAAATGCATATATCATTTACTTAAACACAATATATTTCCTTTTCAGTTAAAACAATAAAATTAATTCTTATTTAGATAGGCATTAAAACTAAACAAATGTGATTTTTATTTTTACTATATTGAAAGTTAAAATTACTTTTTTTTAACATAAAACATGTAATAATGTTATTTAATAATTTTTTATTTACATAAAATATAAAAATCTATTTCTGTTTAGCTAATTTTTGTAGATAAAATTTTAAATTAATAACACAATATGTAGCTTTTTAAAAATATGTCCTATATTTATTTTTAATATTATTTAAAAAAACAAAAACCACAAAAAATCTGAAAGCTTTCAGATTTTATATTATGCCCAAAGGAGCTTTTTTTTTTTTTAACGTTTTTGTGTGCTACCTTTACTTAATCATGTTCTTCACATTTAAACCAAAAATTCAATTCAACAGCAATATCGCAAAATAATCTTAAAATGAGCATATCTTTAGAATTTTCAATACAGAGTCTTGTGCGCTGGAGATTAGTGTTGCCATTGCTTGCTTTGAAATTGTGTAGTTTGTTAATCAAAAATTCATTAAAGTGTTAAGAAATATGAAATCGTTAATTAAACAAATTTCAAATCGGGCTTCCAGAATCAAGGGAGGGGAAGAAGGATTAACCCCACCTCCAGTTTATTGCTAATAGAAAAGACGATTTCACACTTTTTTTTTTTTTTTTTTTACTTAGTCTTATATGATTTGTAAACAAATGCAGCCAAATTTGGCAATTAATCCCCGGTAAAACTGATAAATACCTTTAACCTAATTTAGATAACAAATGATGGAAATTAAGAATATAGATGCATTTTTGAACACTAAGAGATATCAACAGAATTTTATGAACATGATTCAGGGAATTTGTTTTTCATCAGAACTTTCAAATTAAAAAATTTAGAAATGTTTCGCATGAACTAACAAAAAACAGAAACAGTATTAGGATGTCAGGCTAAATAGTCAAAGAATAAAGATACATTTAGAATAGTAGCACTTGAACTAAGAGTAAAGATATACTTAGAATAGTAGCACTGGAACTAAGAAGCTATTTATAAAACATAATAGCAAATAGTACTGAAATTTTCTGCATGGCAATTAATCTAAATAAATGCAAGACAATATTAATAAAAGTGTAATTAGTCATGCAGAAGATTCCGGAATATGTTTCCATGAAATCAATTTATAATTTTTCATCAATTTTTCTACTACAAACTTATTTATGCTAATTTAATAAGATCAACAGGACAGATGCTTTTCATGCAATAAAATATTATGAAATCTATATTGACAATGATTTTTTTAAACTAATTTCTTAAAAAGTTCAGGAATATTTCTGATAAGAATTATAAAAAATGACAAAATTACTTTTTGTAATTCCTTAACACAACTGTAATATATTTGATATATAGCTTCAACTGATGGTAGGCCAATATATTGTTTTACATCAGCACGGTCAATGAGCGCAACATCAATGGCTTCAGTGATATTTGAAGTTGTTAAGATTAAAACATTAGGATACCTAAAAAGTAAGAGTGTATTACTACACATAACAAATTATATCATTATTTGTATTTTACACAAATCATAAAATATAAATCTTACATTAAATTGTAATTATGGCTGTGTAAAAAATATGCTCAATTAAAAAGAAATTTTTAATAATAATAATAATAAGGTTTTATTGCAGCTTTGACACATGTGCATCTTTATGAGAAATAAGTAAATACTCGTCAACTCATACGCACATGCTCTTCAGTTGGTGGAAATTTTACTTTTTAAAAATCTATAACTTTTTCAATGTTAAATATTTAATATGGTTACTATTCTCAGTCTCCCATCTATGGAAAAAAATGCTATAGCTAGAGAACAGAATGTTTCTGAAGATCAGCAAAATGACAAAACAAAAAACACAGAGGTACACCTCTCCGTTACCTACAGCCATATCTAACAGAATTCATGCCAATATTGATAATGCCTTTGATGCAATATTAGCAGTAATTACTGCCATCATAAAGTGTTAAAAATGAATTTTCTAGTACTAAATTTATATTAGGAGATAATATAATCAATATTTCTTTAGTAAATAAATTATTATTATCTATTTATCTATATATACTGTTTATTTTGAATAACTTGTTCCCAGCTGTAGAAAATAAAATGCATTGTATTATGCAAATTATGAATGTATTGTTGATGTGTAATGATCACAATTTAGCCAACTTCATTTTTATGTTGTTTATAACATCAAATTGCATTTTCTTAAATCCAGTTTCGGCAACACTATTTTCTCTCACCAAGGCTTCTATAAAAAAGAAAGTGCCATATATTCTCTCTTGTACCTGTGAAAGTAAGTGATTTTGACATTTTAACTTAATCTGCAAGCAATAAGAAAAATGATGAAATACAGATCTTATTTTATAGCTGCTAACTGGAGATTTTTGTGCAAGAAACCGGAGGTTTTTGCACTCTACAATGATCTGATTTCAGGAGAATGCTAAAATGACTTATATTTATTTTACGATGAATGATTCAAGATACAGAACTATTTATAATGTGATTCCAATACAAAATACATTATTTAATTGGATATCTTTTGTTTTAGTTAATTAGATATTTTATGTTTTTTGACAAATTTCTTTCATTTTAAAATTTTTTAAAACTTTTGAGTAGGAAAGAAAAGTTTTTTTTTTGATCAAAATATCATTTTTAAAGACAATGAAAATAAAATTAATATGTAATGCAAAGTAATAAAATTAATTAGTTATTAACTACAATGGTACTTTGGCACACATCACTTTGAAATATGTCCAATTTTGTACATGTCTTGTTCAGATGGAACATTTTTTTCTTTAAAGTACGATGTTTATTTGCAATACTTGTTTACCTCTTTCAATACAATGCTATGTCTGCCCATGAGTGTCAGTACACTTGTTGTTACTAATCAGTAAAAAACTCGCTTTATAACTCTGAATTTTCAAGCAATTTTGCATTTTTCATATAAAGATTTAGTAAAGTTGCTAACAAGTTAATGAGAAGAGTCAAGCAACAAAGGAAATTGTTAGATCACCATAGAGGTGAATAAAGAGATTGTTGAAAAATACGAAGATGGAATGCATATCTGGAACTTGACTACTGCACACCATATGCAAACTATGATGATGTTTATGACTGTGAAAAACAAAGATGCTATTAAATCAGCTAACCATGTGAAGAGAGTGAAATCAATTACCAAACAAAGATCAGATACATAGAGCATGTTGAAAAACTGTTTTCGATCTGAATAGCAGAAAAATATTCGTGTACAATATCATGTGTACTACTTCTTGTATGCAGTACCTATTTCACCCACTACATTTGTATTTCAGTATTAAACAATGTAATAATAATAATAATAGGATTTTTTTAAAGAACATATTAATTATTTTCTCTTTATTTCATAGTGTAAAAGTTTCTTTGTTATGGGTTTGTCTGTGTGTGTGGATTAATAACTTACCAAAGTACAACTGTAAATTTAAAACATTATGGTATATGCAGACAAATGCAGCAAAAAACTAAACAAAAAAACTTTCACATTGGTTAAGTTTACGACTCCTTTCTCACTTGATCCTCTATACAAATTTGATATTTTTAAAAAGAAACATGTTTTTGCTCTCTTATTTGCTTCGTGCTAGGGATAAAGTGAATATAATATAATCTGCATTGGTCGTTTGGATTTATTCCACAGCTTGACAGGGAAGTGATGTAACAATGAAATAAGAGGCTAAAAATTAAAAACTAGGATATCAGTAATCTATCAGAAGATTAGGAAATGTGACGGAAAATCAGAAGAGTTAGCATAATACAGTTCTTCAAAAGATGATAAAAATACAAATTATCCATTTTCCTATCCCTTAACAGCACAATTCCAAGGATGTGTTGCATCACTATTTCTTAGGTTTGGGAAACTTCATTTTGCTAAATGGTATTTTAAAGAGCAAAACAGCTGCAATGACACATTACTAATGAAAATAATATGAATAAAGGGAGCAGTGGAAGAAATTTCAAAAAGAAGCATCAGCACAGAAACCAAAATGATCAAATATTCTGACCGAATGATAGCAGAGACTGCCAACCAATATATACTTACAACCACCAGATTAGGAGTCATAAATGCATTAGACTTAGCTTAGATGAGGAGTTTCCCATAATCTCAGGATACCAAAAGTGTTCCAAAAGAAACAATTTGATTCCTCGTATTCAATTACATTTGCAACGGACAAACGTGCAGATGCATGGGAAGATGGTAGTAATATTATTTGAACTGCTATATTTTGGCTATCTTATGGATTGTTATCACTGCTTGTATTTCAAAACTTGCATTTTTTCTTTGCTGCTTTGATATACAGATAAATAAAACCACAAATACTGAACCAGTAGATATGAGGGTACAATTATAATCTCTTGAGTAATGTATCTTATTAAGTAAAACTGTTATATTTTGTATTGTGTCTATTTATTCTTGACTTTTGTGTATATCATGCATATGCAAATCAAAAATAAATTACAATAATAAAAATTTAGATTAGTTTTCAATTATTTGAGATTTACAAAGAAAAGGAACACAAATAAGATTCATTACTTCTTTATCATATCTAAATGTGTAAGTAAAGCATTGACAGCCCGCAAAGCATCGGATGGCTCATTACCATTTAATGCAGACGTACGAGAGCGAGCAAGAGTTTCAACCTAAGAGGAAAATCATATTTAATAGTAGTAAAAACAACTGAAACATCAAATAAATGGAATACAATTTCATTATTAACTAAAGGACTGGAAATTTACATATCATAAAAATAATTCTTTAAGAAAATTTCTGTTGTATTAAAATTGATTATAAAATGTAATTAAAAATATCTAAAACTGTCATGAGAATAATTTTTCAAAATCATTTCACAAATGTTTAGTGCTTAACAAAGTTCATAATATTCCGTATTAAAAATTTTAAAATAACATGATCCTTATATACTTTTTTACCAAATAGTTTTGACAAACAAAAGCTCTTGCCAAATAGTGAATTTAGCACCATTAATAAGTGTACTGTCACAACACATTAATAAGATCTTTGTTTTTGTTTGATGGGACGCTGATGCTTAATAAGCTAGTTTAGTTCCGCATTGTAAAGAAAGATATATGCCAAATGCTATTGAGTTAAAAAGTCACACTAAAATTTGGGATCTGCCCTCTGCATAAAAACAGTGGAGAATTTTCAGAGATACAGGACTGATTATACTGATGTGCATACTTGAAACATTGAAAGTGGAGTTTGGCAAAAGAGCAATTAAAAAAAATTGCATAGCCACATAACATTACTCAGATTTCTGTGTGAAAGGATTTGAGTAACAGGAGATTACTTTTCTTTGAGAGCATTTGTTAATTAGAGAAAAATTAGAAACAAGGAATTTGTGGCATCATATTGTTACAAATTTAAGGGAGGAAGGAACAGAGAACTTGCTCCCCCCAATCTATAAATTATCTGATGGCTGCAATAAGGTGTCATGACCATTTTATCACTCTTTTAAATGCCATTTCATGTTAGTCTCCATAAATTTTATAAGAAATAACTCAGGGGATCATGCGAATCATTCACAGTCCAGTGATAATTCTTTGATCCAGCTGAGACACAAGACCTGATGGCATAATGATAACAAACAGTATTCAGGTCAGATGATAACTACATAACTCCTTAGAATACAATGAATGATTGCATTCTAATTGCATAGCTCACTGAATGATAGCTTGAGAAACATCAGAAATTAAATGGGATGTGATATGATAAAAATAACTTTTTTCTGTGGATAATTACCACTTTTCTGAATATACATGGTGCCATTTTTTTATTAATTATAGATGCTGACTTTCTCCATACTGTTGAAGGGCACCCATAAGTCAGGACAAACTTGCATGTAATTGATATAGCCTCACTTATGTTCACAAAACCCCAAAAGTTTCGAAGACAGAGAATGTGATCCTTTTGCTTATTGTCAAAGATTATAAAGAGGATTTGATATGATGTATGAAACATGACTGGATGTTTAATCAAATATGGGCTAGCAACCTAACATAGGCTTAAATTAGGTTAGGTTATTTGAATATAGCAAATGATAGCTACCTTTCTAACGGAAATGATACCTTCTTGAAGGACTTTCTAAATATGCCCGAGGAAAGAGATGCTTCTATAGAGGATTTTGCAAGGAAAACTGGCTTATGTTGTACATGAGGTAAGACAGAAAAAAAATCTGATGTGTACACCACATGACTTCCTTGTACGGAATATTAAATTATATGCATTTTTTCTTGCATTTTGTTTAAATTTATTGGATTGAATTATATCTACTTCGCCGAGAGCGCATAAACCACAATAGAATAAGTGCATTCTTTAAAATTCACTCTATTTTTTTACCATAGCGACATTCTGGCGCTAGGTTCACTTAACAGTATTATATTTTGTTCATATTATAACTCAGAATGCACAAATTTTGTATCATTTAAAGAATTATCTAATCGTTGCCACATGTTCTATTCAAGTACTATAATAAAGCTAGAACGATGTATAAAAGAAATTAAGCAAACAAAACAAAAAAGAAACAGTTTTTCACAGACGATTGAGTATTTCTCATTCAATTGATTCAGTTCTCACTTTGCTACAAAGCAAAAATACATAAAAACTCAAAATCTCTACTAAAAATGACTATTAAAAAATTAAGTAAATCTTAAACACTTATTTCCTCGAAAAAATTCCAGAAAGGATCAAACATGATTTAATTCGCAATAATAAATGAAGGCATATCTTTGTTGTTGCGAAGCTAAGTTTCTCTAGACTGGCAACAAATTAACTATCCTGCTGTTTCAAATGTAAACAAGCAATGGCCGCCATCAAAAATATTATTAGGCTTATCGGCACTTGAACAACTTTAAAATTGTTGATAATTCTAAAAATATTGCACCCAGATTTACTAAAAGCATAAAATCCTTAACCGGAAAATAAAACAACATAATTCAATCATTTTTAAAGCAAAAAATGTACAATTTACAAACATATAAGTGTAAAGAAACTGAGATCACTGAGCCAGGTAACAGAGTGGATATATATATAAATATATTTATATACGTTTGGTGCGGCCGATTGCAACCAAAATATGAGGTGCACATCTGCATGGTATAGCAGTCCTATATATAAAATTTCAACGTTCTGAGGCTACTCGTTTTTCAGTTATGCGAGATACGTACGTACGTACATACGTTCGTACAGACGACACGAAAAATTCTCTTCAGAATTCATTTTAAAGCAGTTTTATAATTTTTTTTTTGGAGGAAAAGAGTCTTTTATTTTGTCCTTACGTACAGATATCATGCAAAAACATTGTTAAATTGCATTGGATAGTGGTCAAAATGGATATTTTCGTTGAAATATGCTGCCTGAAGCTTTTTGCGATTACAATACTTCCTTTTTACTTCGTACAAGGAAGCAAAAATGGCCTTGCACCTAATCTCTTTGCTAGGATTGAAACATGGGTTGAATACCAACATTCAGCAATCTTGTCCACGCAGGTACTGGTGGTCTAAAACAAGAATGAATAACGATATCACTTAAAAAAAATAATGGTTTACCATAAACATGAACAACAGGATTTTTAGATCAAAAAACATAAAAGATCTTTCAAAATGTATGTGCCATAATGCTACAGCTCTGTTAACCAATGTAAAGGTTAGGTTATTTAATTATGGCAAAGCCTCGAGGGCTATCTGCCTAAGGGGGAGGGATGCCTTCGTGGAGGACTTTCGAAGGGAACTGGCTTGTATGCACGTTACACGTGGGGAAAACATTGAAAACACCCATGCAGCCAGCCCGTTCGCGAGATTCGAACCTCAGACCAAACTACCAGTGTTCAGTGACTTTACTGCTCGGCCGCCGGTGGGCAGCCAATGTAAGGGTGATCTCGAAATGTGTTGAAAATATGCATGTTAGAAAGAGGTTAACTAATAATGAAAATAAATGAATATAAGGAGAATTCTGTTTTCTGTAAAGCTTTCTGTATTCACATAAAGAGTTGATTAGATTTTGGATAAAGCTGGACAACTGAATGTGATACTTTACTCGAAGTCAGTAAGTTTTTAATGAAAAACTATTTTAAAATAAAATGCAAAACTTTTCAATTTCAGTATTTAAGACTTTTAAATCAACAGGAATAACTTATCAGATTTTGGCTAAAATTGTTAAACTGGAAGTGAGACTTCAATTGAAGTTCTGCACAGATTTTCGTGGAAAAAAACTTATTATGATTATATAATCCAAAACTTCTCAGATTTAGTATTTAAAGCTTGTATATGCGTATATGATGCAAATATAATCATGATCGAGAACAACATAGTAGATTTTGGCTACATGTGACAAACTAGAAATGGTACTCATGAATCAGTATAATAAGAGTTTAATCTAAAATAATGAACACATTAAGGTTATTTCTGTTAATCCAGACGTCTATTAATTTATATCAGGCATTGAACAGAATGGTTTTTATAAGTGTTTTGTTTGAAAATCTTCCAAGCTCTTGTAATGCAGACATGTTAGCAAACAATTCGCTTGTTATTTTTTTGCACTGTCGATGATGATGAGGCACAATAGCAAATTTAAAAACAATTATTGCTTTAATTCTTACTAATCCTAAAACATATGGTAATCACTATTCAACTGTAACTCCAAAAATCAATGTTCATTAATTTTTAGTACCTAAATATTGTGCAAATTAAAATGAATTTAAACTTGTTGATGCTATAAAATTAACATAGCAGAAAGTTTTAAATTACAGTATTTGCTTCAAACATATTATGAACATTTAATTTTCTTCTAAATACATATCAATTAAATTATATGTTACTTGACTCCCCAATAAAATAAATTTTTGATAAAAGAAATGAAAGGCCGAAATATTTGATTATCTTGATTACTGATTAACTTGGTATTTAGTAAAAGCAGTTTTTAAATTATGGCCAATTAAACCTAATAAAATATAATCCAAAATTTGGCATTACATACCTTTTTATTTATGGAACAATAAATTAGATTTTGTTTACAAACACACAACAGAAAGTGATAATTAAAAGCTCATTGCTCTTTAAAACACACAATTGGCAGGAGGTCATGTGCTGGCCACTCTCAGATTTTTTTTTTAACATGCGCTGATTACATCATATACTGGCTCAATATTTAGGATAGTGATTGTTATAACGAAAAAAATTGTCATGTGCTAAAAAATTTCTTTTGATTTATTTTATACATAGTAAAAAATGCAGCCACTGTTTTTAAGAGGGAAAAAATATGAAAAATCTCCAAATTACTATGTAAAGACTTATTTTTTGACATGACATAAAAAAAAATTGTGCTACATATGTGTATTTAATAGTAAATAAAAATAAAGGTGAATACATACTTCATCTAGAAGAACTATTACTAGAACATTAGAATCTTCAACTAGTTTTAATATATTCTGAAACATTCTGATCACCAACTTTCCACTCTAAAAAATAGATAGGGAAAAGGAAAATTAATGCAAACAGAACTTTAAACTATACAAATTAATATTACTTTGTATTATAAGCTAAGTAATAGTCATAACTAATTATATTAAAAATATGCACTAGATATTTATGTTACAGATTTGCTAAAGAATAAAACTTCCCAATCAAACCTAAAATGTCTGTCTACACAATAAGAATATTAAAGTGCCTAAACAGCAAAAATAAAATATTTGGTCAAGTACCCAGATAAATTATCATCCATAAAACTTAAACATATGGTTCATTGATAATAATAAATAAATAAAATCTGAAAGAATTTAGATTCTAACATTGCACTGAGGATTTATTAAGGTTTTTTATGCTTTCGTTGAGCTTACAGTTTATATATCTGCTTTTAGACTCAGTCCTGCTGAAACACATTTTTTTTTTTGGCCTAGTTACCTGAAACAGACTTTTTTGTCTTTTTTCCACATTCTACAGTAAAATCACAAAAATTTTAAAAAGCAGCATATTTAGAATTCCCAAAACAGTGTTAAGTGCTGACATATATTATTCTCAAATTTCACATTTTCATTGAATCACTTTTGTTGCCTGTTTCACTTTTCAAATAACTAGCCACTGGCACGGCCTGTCCCCCAAAATACTGCTTACTTGGAACTTGGATATTAGTAAAGATTTCAGAAAACATTTGGTGCTGAGCATAGTCCACGCATTAAAAAGCAATATTTACTGAATGAAATATGAAATGTAATATGTATATTTTAAGGTATTGAGGATGTAAGCATACTCTTAAACTACCATCCATTGCCCCCCCCCACTATAACTGATGAAGTCCCAAATTCTGCAGGTTGATTAATTTTCTTTATAACACCATCTCTTTTCATTCTTGCTAGTTCATTTTTTGATAGACTTAATTAAACTGAGCAGAATTTTTCTCCAACACTACTTTACCAATAGCTTCAGGTTTTAATTTAATATAATAAATATAACTAATTAAATTTTCAGCAATCTTAAATAGACTTGAAATTCATTACCATTATTCTGGTAATTTTTCACCAGATTCAAAATTTACTGTACATAACTTTTGCTTTAGCTTTAATTTTTGCAATGTAAGTTAAGTTCAAAAGAGCAGAAACAGTTTTATCACATGCTACTACTTGAAATTTTACTTCATCTTCCTCACCTTAAGATATTTCACAAAAGAATTAAAATTTTCTAAGCAATCACATCACTTTGCGAACCAAAATAATTACTTAAAGTAAATTCTGATTCACTCAAAGGACTATCCCTTAAAAATTTAGGCAATGGCAACAGATTGTATTGAGCACCAATATCTAACCAAACATATAAGAATGTAGATAAGTTTACCATTATTTCTTCTCTTTCCTCTTTGAGATAATTGATTATTTTCTTCAGCAGATCTTTGAACAAATTCATTTTTGCTATGTAATGCATGTTCTAAATTATTCTGCACGTCAACATTTTTATTGGTGCACAGTTTAGCAAAGCGATTTTTTTTGACACTACAAACAAATTTTATTATAGGTAAAACAATTACATAACTTGTGACAAGCTCCACATTTTTTGTATGGTTTTTAATTTCTAAATTCATTTTCTTGGTTATTTGTAGATTATTTTGGGGTAATATTTCATGGATTTTGTGTAATAGTGTGGGTCCCCCCCAAGACAGCCCCCCCCCGAATATGGAATTTTATTCCACTTTATCACTTCTGTTTTATTTTTTTCAGTTAAAGTTTTCAGCTCAAGTCTTGTTAATTTAGCACCTTTACATATTTTAATATATTTTTCCAATGTTGACTGTTGTTCTCTTAATAATCTATTTGCAAGACTTTTATTTTAAATTCTTCTTATTATTCTATTTATAATTAAAATAGATTTTAACTCTGCAAATCCACAATTAATTACTGCTCAGAGTTTTTAACTTTGCTAAGAAATCAGATTCACAAACTGGCTGCATTCAAAAGAAAAATGCATGCGTATTATCACTTTCATTTGCTTTTGGTATACAATAATTTTTGAAAGCTTCAATTATTTTCTCCACTTAAATCAAAAGTACTGAACTTCTCTATTGCTTCTTCACCGATAACATGCAATAAAATGTTTCGTTTCTGGTGATTAAGTATTACCACCAAGCATTGACGTGTAAGTCTGGAATTTTCATTTAAATTTTTCCCAATTTTCACTCATGTTTCCTTCAAAATTAAGAACATTTGGTCGCTTTAACCATACATGTTTACCACTGAATATGTTTAGTTTTAAGTCCAAACCAGAGATTCCCAGTATTGTCCTCCTGTTGGGGCCAATGATGGTCAAGGAGCCGATTAGGGGTTGATAACACGCATGCGTAAACGTATTATGCGCTTGCGCACATGCATATTCGCAGCCATAAAGGTCTTACGCGCACGCGTGAATTCCTATGAGCATGCGCAGAAAGTTTGTAGCTTTTAGGTCTGGATTATGGGTATCCGAATTAACGACTTTTGACTGTATAATAGAAAAGCCTAAAGTTGCTGTAAAGTTTTCAACATATCAGGGGGATATTTGTTTAGGAACAAATGATTGTTTATTACTTTTTCTTTAAATAAACACATTACATTATGCAAAGAAAAGAAAAAAAAGGGGGGAGAAAGAGAGAGAGAGGCAAATGAAAATTAGATACATTTACGTTTTCCCGGCGCAGACGATAAAGTCGCCAATAATGGTACAACCGATGCCCAACGGAATATCCTCACTCGTAACCTTTTACTCTATTTTCAAAACAAGCCGCAGCCATTTCTTATCAGATTGATTGTTTCTTTCAATACTAGCATATAATTACAGGAATTTTTACCAGATAGTTCAATTTTATGCCCTAAGGCCATTCGCAGGTGGTAATTAAGTCAATTAGGATGCAATCACACCGCTCACCTGATGGCAAAAATATAGAAAAGGTTAAGTTCATCAAGACAGTCAAGGGTTAAGTTCATCAATTCTAATGAGAATGTACTAGCGAATTAACCACTGCGGTTTTACATAATTTCTGAGTAAGCTATTCGTATGAATTGAAATAATTCTTCATTTAAACTTGCATTCTAAATTAAGATTTAACTTGAAATTAATGTAGATGATTACTGAGAGAATTAGATTTTTGTAGCGTAGTTTACGTGAAATGAGATCACTTGGGGTTATGTGATAGGAACTAGTGAATCAGGATATTGTACCATGAAAGCATAGTAAATTCTAAAATTAATGCCTTTTTACAAATTTATTGCCTTTATTTATTGGCTTTTTTACAAAATTTTAAATGACATTAGAATGTTTATACTTTTAAAATAAAAAATTCTTAAAACTAACATTTGTTAACGTATATACTGTGTGTTGTCGCCAATACAGTCTGCTTGGCAAGATTTGCAGCGGCGAAACAGAAAAGTACCGAAAATTATAAATATTTTCAAATAATATAATCAGTTTTTTTCATTATTTCTTTTTTTCATGCATACGGAGGATGACTAAACTTCAATAAAAATTATATGAAAATATGTTTCGGACTATAGAATTTCATATTAGTGAACCATTTTACAGCAAATAATGTACATTTATTAATCTTATGCCTTCAAAATTCATTTTGCATGTCATAGAAATATACATTGCAATAAGTTAAACATTTTTATAAAATAGCACATTTTAAGTTTTTGTGAGCTCTTCATAACCTAAATAATTATTGATGTTCACAATTTTATTATAACAATTATAAGCACAACTTAGTATCTTAAAAATTGAAAAAAACCTAACCTCTGAAAACCACCTTGAGAAAAGACACTGTGTATTTACTTCAACCAGTTGCCCATAAGTAAACTTTGATGAATATCTGATACAGATTTTCTGAGCTAATGCTTTACAAAGTGAAGTTTTTCCAGTGCCAGGAGGGCCTATTAATTTAACATAAATTAATAAAATAACAAAATTAAAAAAAATCACAGCTTTAGAAATACTTAATAAAAGAACTAGTAATTTAATATAACAGTACAGGAATTTGTAATATTGAGCTTATAAATACTACAATAAAACCTGAACATTGCATAATTATATTTATAATGTTTGACAGTTTTCTTTAAAATAAAGTGTTATTCTTTAATTTTTAAATGTAAAAACAATTACAATCAATTGTCAGGCAAAAGGGAAAGGTAATCTATAAAGAGCCTGCCTTCTTTTTTTTCTTTTCTCTCTCTCTCTACTACCCCCCCCCCCATTATGGAAAATTCCCCAAGCAAGCCCTCAAGAAAACATTTAGTTAGGCAAATTTTAAGCACCTCATGTTGCAAATGCACTACAGTCACACCTTCAGATTTGAGCCTAGACAAAATATTTAGAAAATACATCAGTTTGTTTTATTATTAATTTGGTACTTTTCTGTTTTGCTGGCGTAAACAATAAAGTTGCCAACAACAGTACAACTGATGCCAAATGGAATATCTTCGCTGGTAACCTCTTACGCCTCATTTTCAAAACAAGTCGCAGCCATTTCTTATCAGATTGGTTGTTTCTTTCGATACTGGCATACAATTACATAGAATTTTTACAAGATAGTTAAATTTTATGCCCTAAGACCATTTACGGTAATTAAGTCAATTAGAATGCAATCACACTGCTCACCCGAAAATATAGAAAAGGCAAAATCAAGGGTTAAAATTCATCTATTCTAAGGAGAATGCATTAGCGAAGTAAAGCACTGCAGTTTTGCATAATTTCTGAGTAAGCTATTGGTACGAATTGAAATAATTCTTGCATTTAAACTTGTATTCCAACTTAAGATTTACCTTGAAATTAATATAGATAATTACTGAGAGAATTAGATTTTTGTAATGTAGTTTACGTGAGGTGAGATCACCATGGATGGTCGAACTGGCATACGATGAGGATGTTGAACCATGAAAACATAGTAAATTCTCAATGTCTTTTTACAAATTTATTGTCTTTATTTATTGGCTTTTTACAAAATTTTAAACTATATTAAAATGTTTATGCCTTCAAAATAAAAAATTCTTAGAACTAACGTCTGTTAACATTTTTTATGTGTATACTGTTATGTTGTCGCCAACAAAGTCTGCTTGGCGAGATTTGCGCCGGCGAAACGGAAAAGTACCATTAATTTAAAATAGAGATGGGAAGGGCTGGTGTTCAAGGCATTTGCCAGCCCATCCCATCTGTGATCGTTAGCACAGCATTTTTTTTCCCCACCTCATTTGAGACTGTAGTTCAAGTTAGCCTGCATTCGCACATTTTCATGAAATGAATCTCACTAAACAGAATAGTATTGGGAATGAGATTAAGTATCACAAATAGTCTGCTGCAATTGTCATTCCCATGGTTACGAGCCAAGTTGGATGGCAGAAAAAGACCCTGAAGTTCTTATTTGAACAGCAACAGACTGTAATGGAAGCAGCCATACATTATGGAACGTATCCCTATGTTATTATGTTCATGATTTTATACCATATATTATAAATGTCCTGGCTCAATTTAGAAGAAATTCAGGATTTTTAATTAGAATATTAATAAAGTCTATTTAAGCATTTACCATCATATTTTCTTAAAATTCTACACCTTTAATTAAGCAATTAAATTATATACTCTCTCATACAGTTGAGAAAAGTTTTACAGTTATGGACATTCGCATGAAATAATTTTCTTCATGTTACACTTGCAATAAGCTGTGACAGAAAATTTGATTCACAACTACTAATGTAATTTTAGGTGGTACTATACCAAAATATGTAAGATTTGTCCAGCAGAGGTATCAACTGAGAATAAGAATCTCAAGATAATATGGAGAAATATAAAAGGTTAGAATGGTCTCTTAATAATTTTCACTTCATGTTTTTAAGTTAAAATATGTTTTCTTCATTATTTTGCTTTAGCTTCTTGAAAACTGTAAAACAAATAAAGGGGGAAAATACATTTCCATCTGCACGGATCATACATACACACTCTATTTCATAAGTAAATCAGTTCAATTTATGCCTGCACATTTAAGTTCAATCACAGTATGCATAGCCATCAATATTAACAAATTTATTTCCTTGAAAACAAGTACAACTTTTAGGATTTCTAGAATTTAAAAAAACTGTTAAAACAAAATTTTATGGAGAACAACATACCATGCAGTAGAACTACTCTGTTACAAGAAACTATATTTGGATCAACACACTGCTCTGAAAAGTGAAGAGCTGTGGAAACATAGTTTAACAACTAGAAATAAATAAATAAATAAATAAATAAATAAAAATAAAATAATAAATAAATAAATTTAAAAAAAAAGTAAATAAAATTATGCAGTTACTAAATAAACATAAAAGTATTATAAAATATATAAGATATTGCCTAATCACTTCCACATTTTTGAAGAATATATATTCTGTTACTTGACCCATAAAACAATGACACAGAATTCTAAGACTGATAGAAACTACTAATGTCCATTTATCAAAAAAAAAAAAAAGTTATGAGATGCGTAGTTACATGAAAAATCTCCTTACAGTGGTTAATTCATTCATCAAGTAATGTGTATTAAGAGAAAACATGCCACACAATATAATAAATACTGAAATAATATTCATTCATCAGAAAGGATAGATTTCTGTAGGCAGATAAGAGCTTTTGTGCTGCTGGTAGCAGAACATAATAGTATTTAAAATGCTTTATTAATTAGTAATGATTAGAAATTTATTAAATTCATATGTATTAATACAAAAATAGTTAATTATTACTTTAATCAATATATAATTCAGTACTTATTGCACCTAATTATTTGCACCCCAACCAAAACATGGTAAAATGTTTGTCACCAAAATAGTTATATGGTAATCCAGGTATTGGAGTAGTATGTCTGTTTTGGCTAGTTTGGAAATTCTCTGATTTTTTTTAAAAGCCAACATGCATTATTGTGTGAATAAAGAAAACAACAGTCTAAAATAGGATAGTGTTTTATTACCAATGTATTTTGCTTTTTTAATTTTATGGATTGATTGCTCTTAAATGGAATTCTTAGTGCACCTATGAGCCCACAACTTTCTGGTGAGGATACTGGATACTGATAATCAGAAAGTACTTGTAATTCTAATAATGCTAAAAAATAAATAAATAAATAAACATTTCAATTCAGTTAATTTACATTATTCTATTTCTGCAAAATCATGTGCTTAAAATAATTATCATCAATAAAAACAGAATACATGGCTTCTTTTAGGCAAGTAAGTCTGCAAATTTTACTGACTAAAGAAAGAAAAATAATATATAAAATCAAATAAAAATCAGTATTCTCATCTGCTTCTTCTAAGTATACCCAGTCAGATAAGCTGAATTATTAAAGTCACTGAACAATGACTAACTTACCGACCAAATTTTGTTTTACAAATTGCAGAAATAATTTTGTATTTAATGAACAATTACATCAAAAAGAGAAGTTTGAATACAATTTTTTTAATACTATTATGCCACTTTTAGAGGTTATCAGATTGAATTTAGAGCTTTTACATACAAAAAGAAGTTGCAACAGCTTGCATAAAGGACCCAATTGCTGATTAAAAAAAAAGTCATCAAGTCATGGAAAAGCATCTTTTTTCAAAAGATAAGCATTTTAAGCAGTAAAACTGAAAGTACAGGAACAGAATATATGTTTAAATTAAAAATGAGAAAAAAGAATACTGAAAGTTAAGAAAAATTCCAAAACTGCTGATAAATTTACGAGGAATTTTTGAATTCTGCCCAATTTATAACCATATAGAATTTAAAATCTGGTTGTCAACTGTGCATTCAAAAAGAGCTTTTTGCATGCCTCCACTAGCTTTCTGTTATATTCGTATGGCATTCTGTAACTTGATCAACAAAATTCAAGCTATGATTATCCTTCAAATTTTCAAAACCTTCCCTACTTAGGAAGTCATAGCCTTTTTCAACTATCTGAATAAACTGCAGTCCGCAGGCTAATCCACTACTTAATTTTTTGGCTCGCAAGGCCGTATATAAATGGCCTACAATATTTTTTGTGATATCTGTAAATACGTATATATTTGTGCATTTTGAAATATGTCAAGAAATTAAGGCAATATAATAAAAGTGCATAAATCAAAGTATAATTTACTAGGAGCATTTAGGCATTAAAATCAAGAAAATATTTCTTTCCCATGGATATTTTCAGAAATTAGGGCCTTTTTAGTGAAACCCCACATCAGTCAGAGATTTAATAATATCCAACAATGTGTTCTCATTCCTATCATGAACCGAAATAGCTTGCCTGATTCTCTTTTAACCTTCCCCCAAAATAAATTGCCCTTCAACTATTCACCCCTTACTATACTTAGTCTTCCCAAATTTACTCTTATCTATTTTCTTCGCAATACCACCTTTTTTCTCATATGACATCTCTATATATTCTAAAAGAGCTTCATTAATAAACTGTCTTTAATATGCTAATGCATTTGTAGCCAAAAAATATTCCTACTGAATAGCACAGTTTTTGTTCTTTGACCAGCTCATACATTAAGAACAGCATTTCATCCATCCTCAAGTTACTGTTATAATAAGAGAAGCAAGGCCCACATCGAATTGACTTTTGAATACCAGATACTGACTTTGATTTTTCAGCCTTAAATTTCATTCGAGAATTATGCTTCTCGCATACAGTGCCCAGTTCTTAATTAATCACGCTTCTTTATAAAAAAAAAATTTTAAAATTTGATCCTGACACAAATGTTAAGTAAACCTAGGTGCCCAGGTTCCCTCTTCCAACACTGTCACATTAGAATTCTACATACAGCAGTTTAAAAAACATCTATAGATAAAAATTGCAAAAGTATTTTTTTAGAAATATTTTTTTTTTTTTTTTTTTTTAAAATTTTGAAGCATTCATTTCATGCTTGATGTAAATTCAATTAATTAGAAAAGATTTAGCATAAAACTCAGTGGCTTTCTCCTAAGGCCCCGTCTACATAGAAGACATATCTCTGAACAAGTCTTTCTTGAAGACACGATTCCTGACAGCATCTCATCTAAACAGGGAGATTTTGTATCGAAGTTCCTGTGAGCTACTAAGCCAATCAGAGTAGTCAAAGCAGATAACATGATTTGTATCCAGTAATAGACCTCAATAGATCTCACAACTAACATAATAATTGGCAAAGTTTCCAATGTCTTTATTTTTCAGGTATTTATTTTGTTATTTTTTAAATAAGTTATAACAAACAGAAGGCTGAATAGCAGACAGAAAGTAACTGTGAATAAAGGATGCCAATAAAAATTGCAAATTAAAAAAAAGTTAAATGAAGCAGGAAAGGAAAGAAAATAGTTGTGAAATATATATACATCAGTAAAGACATAAAGTGAGAAATTTAGAACTGATTTTTCATATATATTCAACTAACAATATATATTCAACAATTTGTAAAAAGCAAATTTAAAGTTAATTAAATTTTAAATAACAAAATGTAATTGCAAACAAATAAATGATTAACTATCGCTGCAAACTAATCTACAATATCATTTAAATTCTGAAAGCATATGCAAATCAAGTGAAAGTATCAAAATCCATGAATAAATATACAATTCCAAAAAATTTTTTAATCCTAAAAAATTCATAAGTGAATAATTGTTGAGCAGGCAGGAGACAGACTTGTCATGCGGAAGTTACCTCTAAACCTAACTCCTCAGCTATTCAATTCGTGTTTTGTCATCCATGCAGGCAAGGGTAAAAGCAAAACCCAAAACCAAATGTAAAACCAAATGCAGTGAATTAACAAAAAGAAATTAGCAAGCAAATGACCAGAATTGAAATTTAAAAAATGTCAGTTAAAAGCGGAAAGCCAAATACCTAGAAAACCAAAGTAATTTACAAACTCTTGCCAACAGAAAACTTTCCCGACACGAATTACGCAAATAAATCAAAAAGAAACCAGATACTATATATAAAAAAATACATAAACAATACTAAAAAGGCAAGTAAATAGCAAGTTTCATTTCAACTTACCAACTATATTTGTATTTGGAGAGTGGGGCAGCATTTGCCAAACTAAGTGATGTTAAGCAGTGTGTTTCTGTAATATATATATATATATATATATATATATATATATACTATATGTAGGCTATTCAGAAAGTAAGGAACGTTTCCGTCTGACGTCACTAGGCGTGCGCCGATCACATATATTTTGGTGCCTGTGTGTTTGGCATCTAAGTTGGCGTCCAGCGGGAACGGGAACATTTCCCTGCTGCCCATTTTTTTTTATATAAAATTTAAAATATGCGCTGCAATTGAAAATCCCGCCAGTTGTGAGGTGCGGTCTGTGATATGGTTTTTGTTGGCAAAAAGCCTAAAACTTATGGAAATTTATCGGCAAGTGTGTGAAGTGTACGGAAACAACATCATGAATGAAAGTTCAATCCGGAAATGGTGCATTCAGTTTTAAAATGGCCGAACTAATGTTCACAATGAAGAGAAGTGTGGACACCTTAGCATTGTGACTGACGAACTGGTTGCTAAAGTTGATGAAAAGATTCGTGAAAACCGCCGTTTCACAACAACGGAGATTTCGCCTAGTTTTCCACAAGTTTCACGGACTTTGTTGTTTGAAATTGTCACACAAAAGCTAGACTATATATAGCAAATTTTGTGCAAGATGGGTGCTGAAATTGCTTACAGACCACCATAAAGGTTAGCGAATGGGGGCAGCTTTGACATTTCTGGAGGCCTATGACAGACATGGTGATTCATAACTGGATTGAATCATAACTGGTGACGAGACATGGGTGAGACACGTGAATTGAGAGACAAAATTACAGTCCATCCAGTGGGGGAACACATGACGTTCCCCCAAAAGACCAAGAAATATGTTGCAATCCTTTTCACCAAATCAAGTTTCTGATTATGTTCGACTTAGTTGTTCTATGGATAGGCACATGGTGTGCGAAAGTACTTAAGAACATAACATGATTTTCTATTGCTTTATATGGGGCTACTTCAATAAACGGTCTGAGAGTACTGTCAAACTTTGCACAACCTTAAGAGAGCAGTTCAAAACAAGTGCCAAGGAACGTTGATGTCCAAAATTTTGTTTTTGCATGACAAGGCCCAAACCTCACACGGCAAACCGCACTCAAGAACTCCTTAATTCATTCAAATGGGAGGTTTTTCCTCATCTGCCCTATAGTCCCGATCTTGCACCTAGTAATTTTCACTTGTTTCCAAGAATGAAGAA